ATATTTATATATATATATATATATGTATATAAATAGACGATTATTTTCACGTTCAAAATTCGTAGGAAATGTGATGCAAATTAAACCGACAATAAAATGAAATACGTATTACATTTTAATATAGATATTGATGTATGAATAAATGAATGAATTATAATAATTGAGATAAGGCAAAATATGATTGGTATCTTTATTAATCGTCTTTTGGTCAAAAACTCGTTGGTTCTACGAAAATCATACTATTAAAGCGAAGCAACTGAAATTATAGAAAATACAAGAAAATAAATTGTTTGCTATTATTCACGTGAATATCTTTAATTAACATCTATAGCCACTAAGCAAAATAGGCAAGCTCTTGATAGTTCGACCTGTATGTATAAAAATAAAGATTTGTCTTGTTATACTCGATGCTCGATGATTGACAAACGGACACCACGTTCATTCGTTCACAAAATTTGTATCGTTTTATTTTATTTTATTTTATTTTTTATTTTATTTTATTTTTTTGTTTTTTTACTTTTTCTTGAATTCCGGAATACAGCACATTCATTTTAGAAAATATTTAATATATGTATATATATATGCCGGTAATTATAACAATGGTCTAAATAACAAAAATTATACGAATTTATTTTATGATTTATTTTATAATATAATTTTAATATCACAAATAAATCATAAAATTTATTTTTCCAATTTTTTTTTTGCTTAGTCCACTATCATAATTGCCGTCACAATTATACGGTATATAATATATACAGTAAAAAACGTTTCCTAGCTTTCGTCAGCGTCACTGCGTTTGGCTGTACGTTTAGATATAATAAATATTAACAATATGTGTTATATTTATATATATATTATTATATATATATTTATATTATTATTATATTATTACTATTATTTTATATATATATCTATATATATATATATAATAATATATATATATATAATAGATGTAGATTTTGTTTAATAATATTATTATATACGCAAATTCATTCTTATGCATTCACGCAAACGCACATTTCACAACGAATAAATACCTGTGTATTTACAGAAATTTAATCGAATATTTTATTTCTTATCTTTTTTTTTTTCTTTTTCTTTTTCTTTTATTGTTTCGTGAGGCAAAATATTCTTACATAGATAATATGTAATTTCAAAATTTATGACTGTATACCGAAAAAAAGTGACCAGTGTAAATTATAAATGAAGATGACTAAAAGAAAATTGACACCAGTTTAATAGTGCGATAGGAATAAAATATTAGATATAATATAAAGAATATCATATCGAACAGAATTAAATGAAACAGATATATAGTCGTTTAAAACGACCAAAGATTCGTTGTTAAAAGTGATTTATGTTCTAGGATTGTTTTCTCTATATCTCTCTACATCCACTAACCTTATGTAAAAGACAAAGCATTTTATTTCAAAAGTTAAGTATAAATCTTGTATTTATCTAGAGACCACTTTTCTTTTTGGTCATCGTTCATTCAATGCTATTTAATAGAAACTTATTAATTATTGAGAAAAGACAGATACTTTTAATTTCAAGAATATCTTAAATCAAAAATCGTTTTCAAAAGACGCGCCCGAAGCCACGTATAGCTGCTAGCTTCCTTCCTTTCTTTTCTTTTTTTTATTTCATTAGCTAGACGTAGTCGAGAGCTGTAAACTTTTTACTCTTTAAAAACAGTCTTTATACAATATTTAAATTATTATATACAGATGTACACACATATGTATGTATAACTAGCTAAAAGATAAAAACTGTTCATTCGCTATTACATTTAAATCAGCTTATCATGTTAATTAGTTATAATTTATAATTACATATTATTACTTCATTTCCATTTGAGTATAAAACAAATGAAGTTAGTGTTAGATTACTTATACCCTGGTTTTATTTACAATAGCTCGATTATTATTAATAATTTACATCAATTTTTAAACCCTACAACTCTAGAACTGATTTTATTCAAAGACTGTTGCTTATAATCTATAGCTGTTATAAGAAACTAGATATATTTTTTAACATTTTCTGTGTTAAAAGATATTTATATATATTTATTTAATTTGTGAAAATCTTCCCAACGATACAATGTTGGGGGATGTGGTGTGTAAAGATTGTTTATTAAAAAAGAAAAATATATACTGTAATTAACAACTTACGAGTCAACTTGAAATAAAACAAAAATTATTTAATCAATTAAATATAATAATGATTATAATAAATGCACCAGAATCTTATCTTCTCTATTTAAAATTTTTGTGCCTGAACTTTTTTTTCATCGATAAGATGAAATAATATTTGGAATGTTTTTATATAGAATCATTTTGTCGAAAAGATTTCGTTATTAACTTGTACTCTATTCCAGTATAAAAGAAGGATATTTTGTTTTATTTAATTTCGTTTCAAGAACTACTAGGAACGGGCAGTACGTGCCAATGTTATATTGTGTTAAAACAAAAATACTGCTACGATATATTATGCATATACATACGTAACAACAATTTATGCTAAACTAAGATCAACCTGTATCTGCTTTGATGCTGCAAATATTGAAATATTCGACATTTGTCATGTTGTAACCCTTAGAGTTATCGTTGCAGAGATACTAACAAATTATTGCGTACAAAATTGATATTAAACAGTATAAACGCGCGCGCGTTATAGGTATAGAAATATAAAATATATTTTTAAAACTTCAGAGCATCAATAGTTACGCGTACAGTTACATACTTTATCGGAAAAAGTGTGTAAGATAGAAAGAAAGAGAAAGAAAGAGAAAGAGAGAAAGAGAGACAGAGAGAGAGGCAGAGAGAGAGAGAAGAATAAGTACCAACTTCTATTTAAACCGTAAGCACAAATCTATGATGTTATTGAAAACTCACAAGCTATTTTGTCAGGATAAACATTCCCTAATATGTATATAAAAATAAAATACTTTAATAACAAGTATTTGAACAGTGAGAGAAATTAATTTGTTTTAATAAATAACCGTGCAACAGCCTTTGAACATATAAAAGAGTTTTATGACTGCTTTGCAGCTTCATAATTTACTTATAATCGTTCCTTAGTTGTATCTTGTTCATCCTGTACTATTAAAAACTAGCAATTTTTCAAAAGTTTAAAATATAACTTCTCAATTATCGATGTTTATCAATCCCTTTGTTGTTATAATAATATGATAATAATAAAATAATAATAATACTAATACTAATAATAATAATAATAATAATATTAGGTGTACAAATAAGTTCTCGGTTTAAGAATTAAAACGACTATATTAAATATTTGAACGAAAACATTTTCTCACTAATTGTAGGGCTATATAATATCAATCTATTAGACTATATTGCCGGATTAAAAGTATAACATAATCTTAAAATATTCATCGTTAGCACAGTAAACAAAATGAGTTACAATAAGGCGCATATTAGGCACTGTATGCTTTTCGCGTTCGGGTTGAAAAAAAATATTTCCAAGGCTAAAGATATGATATGTGAAGCATCGAGAAAAGATGTATCCATCAGGATTGTCAAGAATTATTTCTAAAAATTCCAAAGTAGAAAAATTTCGACCACGAGTATGACGAGAAAGTAAGACCATTTAAAAAATTGGCAAATAAGAATTTGGAATAGTTGTTGGACAAAAATTCTTGTCAAACTCAAGAAGAGTTTTCTACTGCATTAGGAATTACCCAACAACATATTTCCATTCTGCTAAAAAAGCGATAGCCATTTTAAAACTTTCGAAGAAATAAGAAAAATGCATTACCGATTTTATCAACTAAAAATCGCCATTTGCCCGAGAGGTATATAAAAGTAAAATGAGATTATTTTCACGATTAACATCTATCTATCTTCATATATTTTAAATAAATAAATAATTATTTTCATTTAAGAAGACCGATAACTTTTTTTTTATTTGTACACCTTGTAGTAATAATATTATATCGACTGATCGGTTTGTTAGTACCTGATGTTGCTGCTACTGCTGCTGCTAAATGCAGTTTATAATTTGAGTACCAATCAATATCTACAGGCCTTTCATGTCGAATCATCTAAACAATATCGTATATGTCGTAATGAATATTGTAACGATAATCGTACTACTACTTAACGAGAAAGTAGGTGGTGCTATACTCGAAGCTGCTTTCATTAAATCTTCGCAGACACCTGCAATAAGAAATTAAATGTCACACATATACATAATATATGTCTAATATATTAAAAAATATAGAATACGTCGTTTCAATAATGACCTTGACTTGAGAGTCTGTACGTCCATTCATTAGTTTCATTTCTCTGACAAAAGCGTGTTGGCTTTGAAAGCCACGTCTCTTGTTCTTGCTGTAACGATCTACTCCTATCTTGAATTTTTTCTGTATTTATTCCAGGCCGCATTGAGAAACAATACGTTTGTTGTTCTTGGTCGGTCATGAGTTCATTACTTTTTTTTGATACTATAGTATACCAGATTCCTTTTTCTTCCCAACTACCGTGACACAAATATGCTAAAAAATAAAATATACATACATATTTATATTTCCACACAAATTTTAAGATAAAACATAATTTTTTGTTTGTTTGTTTGTTATTAAACTCACCTATTTCTTCATGTTCACAAGTATTTGCAATTACCATTTCATTTTGATCGGAAGAACTACATCCTATTTGAATATCAGTACTTCTACACTCTTCATCTTCAATGTCGTCCTGCCACGTCCTTCTTTTTGCCGTTTTCGAAGATTTCTCACTACGACGCTGTCGTCTGGGAGTAGTCGAGAATACATTTGAAGGGGCAAAATCCATGATAGAGTACCGACCGGGGTGTGAACACTTTCTTTGATGTAGAAAAGAAGCTAAGGAAGACCAGACAGGATATGTATTTTAAATCAAGATTATTTTTAAACCTTCTTTTTTTCTTTCATATATATATATATACTTACTTATTAGAGTCGTATAAGGCATATTTGAGGGATCCCACAGGGAGCAAACTTCATCCGGCATAATTGCTTTTTGAGCTAAAATCAAATTAAACAATCAGATATTATAGGAAAAAAAATGACGTAATAATTACATAGAGGTTTAAAAGATACTAACCGGATTGTTGTATTTCAATAATATGTCCATCCCTTTTATGGAATATCATGCACACATAACCGATGTCACTAAAAATCAATAACGTTACACGTCAAATTTTATGAGCGTCAAGATTATAGAGAAGAAATCTTTACTATCTACTTACCATCCGCTGGTCACATGAGCGATCACCTTAACTTTGTGACCCTGCATGTTATCGTTTGGATGCATCTTTTCTAAATTATGACAGACAATTTTTTCCTCGTGGTATGCTTCCCGATCGGTTTCTTGGGCTTTTACTTTGAGCGTTGCATTCTTGTTTGTAAAATGATAACTTTTGGTGCCATCCAACGAATACCAATCGTGATGTTGCGTGACCCACGATGGATATTTGCACCTGCTGTGTTCTCTGTCCACTGTTGGACAAATTGTGAATATTTATGTTAAATATTTGTTAATAATTAGAAAGTATCTTTTTTTTTTTTTTTATCTGTTATATGTGTTAAATACCTTTTGTAAGTTTTATAGTGAGCGAAGCTTCGGATACAGTTGTCAAACCATTGCAAGTAGGTTCTCCGGAATGAGCAAGCATGTACATCACTTTTCCCTGATGATGTTTCTCTTCGTACAAAAAGCACCTATGAAGTGGATGGGGGGGGAAGAAGAAAAAATATATTATTAATTATACAGATTTGTACAATATAATCGGATTAGCCAATAATTCCATACGATTTTTCCCATTCATTTATTTATTTTTAAAATCGCATTGACTTTATTTATTCGCCAATCTAATAGATTAATTCGCGAAATGACTGTTTTTTTTTTAATTAATAAGAGAAAATAATTCTGACCGTTAAAATAACGAGATTATACCTAAATATTACTTCAGTAGCAACGGCATTTCTTCCCTTTAGCGTACCCACTAAATATTTATTCCGTCCACCGTCGTTCCACACGGCTAAGCACTGCAACTCCTCCGCTGTAAATTATTATAAATTATCGTATAATTCAAAGGTAAAAGGTAAAAAGAAAAAAAAAAAAGAAAGTATCCCCATTATTAATCATACAATATTTTTATGAAAAATATAACGAATAATGAATAAAAAAATATTTAAGCGATTAATCGTATTACCGGTTCAAACGAGTTAATTATTATTGTCATCATTTATACTATACAAAAAAATGTGTGTTCTAATTTTATTTGAAAATCAATTAAATAGAAACGGGCGAAAGGGAAATAGACACATTTTCAAATGAAATTAATTTGAACAATTTGAAATGACATATACAAGGAATATTAAGAAGATGTATCGGAAGAAGGGAGAGGGGGTTAAGAATATAAAAACTTACTGTTACTTTCGGTTCCATCGATGTCGGGACAGGCCTGATATTTAAGAAGAAGTTTACTCTCGTCCGTGCATCTTTCGGCCAAACTTATAGGTAAAACGCATTCACCGTGTCCTCGGTTATACGAAAACATGAATGGAGGGCCGTTGAATGGGCAGGGTATGGGTTTAGAGTTTATCCGAAACATAGAGTATAAAATATCGTCCGAGGTTATCATCGAGCACATTGCTTCCAGTTCCATTATATCCGAATTGCAAAATCCTAAAAAATGATGAATGAAAAATATTCCTTTTATATCTTTTTATATTATTTTCAATTTTTAATAATTTAAAAAAGAAAAGAAAAAAGGGGGGAAAAGAAGGAAAGAGACGTAGGTAAAAATATCTACGAACAATAAATATGTGTACAATAATAGACATATTTGAGTTGAGTGTGTTCGATGAAGCAGAGTCGGGCGCAAAAGGAAAGTAAAATAAAAAAAAAAAAAAGAAAAAGAAGAAAATATTCAATAACACTCCCCAAATCTTGATATACAAGCCGTACGATGAATAGCAAATCATTTAATACACCACGCTCACAGTGAATTAAACTTTAGCGTAATTCACCATACGGCATCAGACCTTTCATCTACTATTGGCAACGGCAAATGCCAAGGATGTGGTCCAACACAATGGACGTCAGGTTTAGTTACGCCATGCTCATCAACCTCGGAATTGTGGAGTATACACGCGTATGCGTATAAGTATGTTTGCGTGCGCACGTGCATTTGTATGTGTGTGTGTGTGTGGTAGAGCGAATATAACGTATATACATGTGTGTTTTTGAGAATGTCTGTCGGAAAAAAAGGGGAAGAAGAAAAGAGAAGGAGAGATTTTATGTGCGCATGTGTAGAATAAAAAGAGAGAGAGAGAGAGAGAGTTATAGGGAAAAGAAAGACAAACTACTGTGCACTGTTTCGCTTCCCCGTGAGCTCGCAGTTCTCTCGTTTATGGTTGTTGCTTCCAAAAAACTATTGTCCTAATGCAGAAACCAACTCGTGGGAAAAATGTTGATCTTTGCATGAGGTGAATAATAGTTACCAATTTGTAAAAAAAAAACACTTTGTGAAAAATAAAGGATGAGAATTGGCAAGATAATGATTGATAAATAATTACGTTAAAAAAATTTGATTAAAAAGAAAAAATATATATGTAAGATAAATAATATAATCGATACTCTTAAATAATTTATGTTCTAAATAATTAATTAAATACCAGCACATATTTTTTATGCATGATATAATATAGTTTATCGTTTCAAGATTTCTGAGTATACTTTAAATTAAGGTTAATAGGTGGTATACTGTACACATATGGTAAATTAAATACATTTTTTTTCTGTTAAAGAGCATTACACACAAGCTTTGATAATTTTTAAATATTTTTTTTTTAACAAATAATTTTTAATTATTAAATATTACTATACTATAATAATTAGAAGATAAT